CCCATGTCTGGCTCCCTGCTCAACAGGAGACTGCTTCTCCCTTTCCTCCCCGCTTGTGCTCTCTCTTGCTATCTCTGTCACTATCTCTCTCTCTCTCTCAAATAAATAAATAAAATCTTTTAAAAATATATTTAAAAAAACAACCTTTTAAAATATATTTTGAGATAATTGTGGATTCACAGGTAGTTGTAGAAAATAATACAGCAATATCTCATAGACACTTTATCTGGTTAATCCAATGGTAACATCTTGCACAACTATAGTACAATATCATAACGGGTTATTGATACATAATACTGATACAGGCAAAGCACAGAACAGTTCTATCATCACAAGGATTCCTCCTGTTGCACTTTTATAGCTACACCCACCTCCCTCCCTCACCCTCACAACCCTGACAACTGGCAACCACTAAAATGTTCTCCATCACGATAATGTTGATATTTCAAGACTGCCAAAACAATTCAGTTATGTTCATCTTAAACAGAAGGTAAGTCCTGTACATGTTTTGAGAGATTTATATCACAGTATTTCTCTTTTCTTGAGCAGTTCTAAGTAGTATTGTATTTTTTTTTTTGAGATTTGTTTATTTATTTGAGAGAGAAAGTAGGGGGAGGGGCAGAGGCAGAGAAAGAGGGAAAGAGAATCTCAAGCAGATTCCCCACTGAGCACGGAGCCTAGCATGGGGCTCAACCTCAGGACCCTGAGATTATGACCTGAACCAAAATCAAAAGTTGGACACTTAATCAACTGAGCCATCCAGGTGCCCCAGTGGTATTGTATTTTAAATTTTAAATTTTAAATTTTAAATTTTAAATTTCAGTGCCAACATGTCCATGTTTCATAGCCTAAGAAATCTTGAGAAAGAAGAATAAATTGTTTCTATACACCAGCAATGAACAATCAATAAGGAAATTTTAAAAACAGTTCCATTTACAATAGAATCCAAAAGAATCAAATACCTAGGATTAAATTCAATTTCACCAAGGAGGTGAATAAATTATACCCTGAAACCTACAAAGCATTGTTAAAAGTAGTTAAAGAAGAGCTACTTAAATGGAAAGACTCCCATGTTCATGGACTGGAAGGCATATATTGTTAAGATGGCAATACTCCCCAAAGTCATCTACAGAGTCAAAGTAATCTTTGTCAAAATTCCAGTGACATTTTCTGCTGAAATGAAAGAGCCAATTCTAGAATTCATATGGAATTGCAAGGGGCCCCAAATAGCTAAAACAACATTAAAAAAGAAAAACTAAGTGGGAGGACTCACACTTCTTGGTTTCAGAACTTATTACAAAGCTACAGCAATCAAAACTAGTGTGGTACCAGCTTAAGGATGGACATATAGGTGAATGGAATAGAATTGAGAGCCCAGAAATAAACCCAAACGTCTATGGCCAATTGATTTTTGACAAGGGTGCCAAGGCCATTTGGTGGAGAAAGAATAATATCTTCAATGAATGTTGCTGGACAACCAGATAACTACATGAAAACAAGTAGTTGAACCCCTACCTCACTCCTACACAATAATCAATTCCCAAAATGGATCAACAGCCTAAATACAAGAGCTAAACCATGAAACTCTTAGAAGAAAACACAGGGTAAATCTTCATGACCTCTGATCTGACACTGGATTCTTATATTTGACACCAAAAGCACCAACAATAAAAGACAAAATTGATCAATTGGATTTAATAAAAATTTTAAAACTTGTACACTAAAGAATAGTATCAAGAAAGTGCAAATACAATCTACAGAATGGGAGAAAATATTTGCAAATTATATATCTGATAGAAGTGTAGTATCTAGAATATATAAAGAACTCTTACAACTCAACAACAAAAAGACAAGCAACTAGGGCACCTGGGTGGCTCAGTTGGTTAAGCATCTGCCTTCGACTCAGGTCATGATCCAAGTCTTGGGATTAAGTCCCACGCTGAGATCCCTGCTGAGTGGGGAGCCTGCTTCTTTGTCCCTTCCCTGGCTCATTCTTTCTCTCTCTCTATCTCTCGCTCGCTCACTCACTCTCACTCTCAGTCTCTCAAAGAAATAAATAAAATCTTAAAAAAAAAAAAGACAACTCAATTAAGGAATGGGTAAAGACCTTGAAATGACATTCCTCCAAAGAAGATATACAAATGACCAGCAAACATAGGTAAAGATGCTAAACATAATTAGTCATTAAGGAAATGTAAATCAAAACCACAAGATACCACTCCACACACTATGATGGCTATAATAAAAAAATGAAAAATATCAAGTATTGACGAGGATGTGCAGAAATAGGAACTCTTGTAAAGAAGCCAGACACAACAGGTCACATATTGCATAATCCTTTTATATAAAATATTCCAAATATGCAAATCCATGGAGACAGAAAGAAGATTAGCGGTTGCCAATGGACCAGGCAGGGGTGGGGAAGGGAGAATGGAAAGTTATTAAGTACCCATTAAGTTGTGGATGGGATGGATGGATGTCCTGGGGTGAGGAAGAAATTTGTAACTAGAAAGAGGTGGTAGTCCCACAACATTTGGAATGTACTAAATGCCACTGGATGGTACACTTTAATGAATTATGGGTCATGTGAAATTCACCTCAATTGTTATGTGCATAGCCTTATATTTAGCATAATCCTCCTTGAATTTTAAAAAATGCAGATATATGTGAGAGAAAAATATGTTAGATTACACCTCAAGGCATTAAAGATGATTATCAATGAATGATGAGAAATCGGATCATTTTTTTAAGTAGGTTCCACACCCAGCCTAGAGCCCAATGTGGGGCTTGCACTCATGACCCTGAGATCAAGACCTGAGCTGAGATCAAGACCTTAGCTGATATTAAGCCAGCTTAACTAACTGAGCCACCCAGGCACCCCAGAAATCAGATAATTTTAGGGACACTTGTGTGACACAGTCAGTTAAGCATGGATTCTTGGTTTTGGCTCAGGTAGTGATCTGAGGGTTGTGAGATCAAGCCCCATACAGCTCTGCGCTCAGCATGGAGTCTGCTTAAGCCTCTCTTTCCCTCTCCCTCTGCCCCTCCCCTCTGCTCTCTCTCTAAAAAAATAAAATAAGTCTTTAAAAAAAAAGAAATCAGATAATTTTAATTTTCTCTTTGCTTAAATTATTTTCCAAATTTCCCAACAATTTTAGAAAATAATTGCTTGCTAAATTTTTTAATAACTAGGAAAAAGAAACTAATAGTCATTAAGAGCATGAAGAAAATACTTCAGTTATGGGGTAAAGTGAGGATAAAACAAAATTACATTGTATGTATAGTATGATTCCAGGTATTTAAAATGCATTACTGGGGCTCCCGCGTGGCTCAGATGGTTGAGATTCGGACTCTTGGTTTTGGCTCAGGTTGTGATCTTGAGGTCTTGGGATCAAGCCCCATGATGGGTTCCATGTTCAGCTTGGAGACTGCTTGGGATTCTTTCTCCCTCCCCCTCTGCTCCTCCCCCTGCTTGGTCACTCTCTCTCTCTCATAAATTAATAAATAAATAAATAAATAATAAATAAATAAATCTTTTAAAAAATAAAATGCATTGCTTAGGTAACAGTTTAGGAGATAAGCAAGTAAGTGACATTTTTCCTTTCTACTTTCCAAATTTTCTCAACGAACATATATTACTACTATATCAGAAAGATACTTTTATTTTTTAAATGTCCACAACTGGACAAGCTAAGTTCAAAAAAGTAGAGGTTTGATAAATGTACTTGATTTGATAAGGAGGATATTTACGCCAGAACTATATATTTTGATAGATAATATTCCTCGTAGAAAAATTGTAAAGGGCAGAAAATGTAGTGATGGAAACTTAAATCACCAGACTCTACCCACTCAGAGATACTTAGTTGTTCCTTAAACAGAACTGGGCTTAGCTGTTTAGAAACAATGGCCCCTCACAACCAATGGTAGTAAAATCAACAGCAGAGTTTGCTTAGCAAAAGTGAGTCTATTATGTGGCAACCTTGCTATCTCAGAAGTGTGGCTCTCTGGACAGAGGACAGGGAATGCTAAAAGGACAATTCTTGGTCTTTGTTTGCCCGGCATATTTTCCCACTTCACATGGTATTAGCAATCTAGTAATTTGAACTTCTTTTGGGGAACCAACCTTTTCCCAGTCTTAGTTCATGTGGCCTGGGTGGTTTGGGCAGGACTGACCCCAGTCTACCCAAAGGAGGAATGACCTAGGCTTCAGTCAATCAGTGGATTCAATGTCTAAGGTCAAGGTGGTTCCTTAACTTAAGCCAGGTGTCAAGTGCAAGACATTTGTTAAAAACATTGACAAAATAGGTGGACTCTATGACTCTGAGCATTTGTGATTTAAAAACAGATGTTAAAATCCCTTGAAAAGAAGATGGGGTGATGAATGGGTTGCCCTATGGATTTAGTAGCTAGTGGTCACGCTCTCTTACTGTCTTGTGCATCCCTCTACCTTCGTGCTGACCATGCTGGAACCTGGTCGCTGCTGTTTCTGTCTCCTCCACCAGAGAGCCTGCTCTCTAAGAGAAGGAGACACATCTCTGGTATGTTGGGTCATTCAGACAGGGGGCCTAAACACCCAGCTGCTGAAGAAATTACCCTGATGGGCTTAGTAGCATGGAGCTGAGGCAGTGGTGGCCCTATCACTGGGGATTCGGGTTTCTGGGCTCTAGAACCCATCCAGGTTGATACCACATCCTCCAGTCCCCACCTTGTATGCTCCCTGTCCTACTCTGGGCTGGAACAAGTGGTCTGCTCTGAGTCAACTGGTGTGGGTTCTGATGAGGTCACAGCATGATTCTCACACAACCACCCAGAGAACGTCAACCGACACAGGGGTGGGGGCAGGGAAGCTTTCATAGAAAGCCTTCTAGGTTGAAGCACCACAAAACCAAAGGGGAGTTCAAGGTCAGTGAGCCCATCTGCACCCCGTTCCTCTTCTGGGAGCTAAAAGACAGCACAGAGGAAGCACCAGCAGCCCCGATCTGGGCAGCCTCCTGGGAAAGATGCAGCCACTCCTGCTCCTGCTCCTGCTGGCTTTTTGCCTGCCTTCCGGGGCCAAGGCAGGTGAGTGACCACCCCCGACCTCAGAGGCCCGACCCCGTCCCACAGTGGGCACAGCTCTCTTGTCCCTTCTGCACACCCCTGATCCACCTTTCCACCAGGAACATTCTGCACCCTGCCTTCATCCTGCCTCCCACTCTCAAGTGGGATGCTGCACAAGCTACCAGCAGGAATGGCAGGGCAGAAGGCTGGTCTCCAGAAGAGCCAGTGCGTACTGCCCCCTCCCCATTTGCCATCTGGAAATGGAACTTTCCTACAAGTGCATAGCAGAGGATGAGAAACTGGAAAAGAAAACCTCATAAATCCTCCTGCAGAGGGCAGAGCAGGCCTGGCTTTCTAGTGGGATGAGCCTGGTGCTTCCCACAGCACCTGCTTGGGAGAGAAGCCCGGGGCTCGGCTGACCCAACATTTGAACAGACCCCGGTCCCCAAAAGACTGCTGTTGCCTTGGCCCTATCCCAAGGCTCCTCTTCCCTCTCTCACACTCTGCTTTTCTTCCCAGGCTGTTAGTGGCTCTCCTCTTTCAAACATGACCTTGGCAGGCCTAAACTTCTGTTTTCCAGAATCCTAGCACCAGGGGCCCTACCAACATTCATCCGGAGGCTCCCTGGGGATCCTTGCTTTAATGAAGCCAAACAGCACTCCCTAGGTACTTACTACCTTACTACCGTGTCAGGCCATTGAAATAGGCCATGTCAGACAACACCTACATAACTAAACTTAGGTCCTAGCCACTGGGAAAGACTTCACAGGATGACAGGGGCCTTAGAAACTTGCTTGAACCAAAGCAAAGTCAGGAGAGGGATTGTTCAGGAGGCTCTAGGACGTCACTATCCCTATGACAGGTAGGCTCCCCTCCGGTTGTGTGTAGAAGACAGATACACAGACCAAAACCCTGCCCTTCCCCCTCCCATGCCCTCCCAAATCCAGGCCGTGCCTGCCCGGTGCATTCGGTGGGTACATAGGAGCAGAACAGAATTTTCCCTCAGGAGAGATCATCGGGGGACATGAGGCCAAGCCCCACTCCCGGCCCTATATGGCGTATCTTAAGGTCGAGAATAAGAATGAGGTTTGGTGTGGTGGGTTCCTGATACACAAGAAGTTCGTGCTGACCGCCGCTCACTGCCACAGAAGGTGAGAAGGGACCAGCAGCCTGCACCGCCCTGAAAACCCCGGCCCAGCCCAGAGCCCTGCTTTCTTTCCCGGGAGCTGTAAGGAACACGTGAGCCAGGAGGGCTCCTGAAAGGGGGTGAGGGAGGGCAAGTAGGTGGTGGGAAGAGGGGAGGCCGGGGCCAGGTGCATTGCAGGAGTAAGAGAAGAGCTGGGACATGCTTTGGCATCAGAATGCAAACTAATGCCATTTCACAAGTTTCTCAGGGTAACTGACCCCTGAGAACCCCTGACACAGTCACCAATGGCTCCAGAACCCTACCTCAGCTGCTGAGAAGCAGAAGGCACAGACAGCTCAAACCTGGGCCCTCCTGTTGCCTCAGTTTCCCCATCAACTCCAGGCCTGCCCACCCCAACTGCCACCTGCCCTTCACAGCCCCTGGGGCTGTATCCTATGAATTCCACACCCCCACACCCTACTCTGCTCTCTCTGCAGCTCCATCAGTGTCATCCTGGGGGCCCACAACATCAAGAAACAGGAGATGACCCAGCAGGACATTCCGGTGAGAAAAGCCATCCCCCACCCAGACTATAATCCGAAGAACTACTCTAACGACATCATGTTACTGAAGGTAAGGAAACCTCCCTGCTGCCCTTGCTCTCCTGGGTCCACACTGTTTCCTCTTCCCACTGGGACCTGTCCCACCCCCCGCTCCTTCCCACCCTGGCCGCCTGACCAGTCCCCGTGGCTCAGGGCAGAGAGAAGACGGTGCAGCCTCATCGGGGTATCCAGGCCCAGAGGCCACTGGCTGAGCTGGACTCTCTTGCCTCTTCCCATCAGCTGGAGAGAGAGGCCAAGCAGACTGCAGCGGTGAGGCCCCTCCGCCTGCCCACCGGCAAGACCCGGGTGCGGCCAGGACAGGTGTGCAGTGTGGCCGGCTGGGGGCGGGTCAACGCCAAGATACGCACGTTCCCAGACACTCTGCAAGTAGTGAGGCTGGCAGTGCAGGAGGATGGGAAGTGCAAATTCCTCTTTCCCCATCATTACGACCACACCATTCAGCTGTGCGTGGGGGACCCAATGGAAGAAAAGTCTTCCTTTCAGGTGAGACTGGGGGTCTGCTTAACAGGGCTCTGGGGACATGGGTGTTTGGGGAAGACCTGGGTTCTGGAGACCCGAGAAGTGACCTTTTACCTGAGGAAGAGAGGGGGAGCAGCCAGAGATGGGGGCACCCAGGCCCTCTGCAAGCCTGCCGAGGGCCTAGGATGAATCCAAACGAGGCGCTCCCGCAGAAGGATGAATTTGCAGCACTCTGCCCCGTGCCTGGCCCCCCGATGTTAGAAAACTTGCTCCCTGGACGTGCAGTGGTGAAAACCAGGTGGCTCCTCAGGGCTGGCCCCCACCTGGGTCTCGGGGCTCCTCCTCCATGCTGAGTGTCAGCCCCGCCCACCTGCTTCCGGGGAGGCGCCTAAACAGCCGAGTGAAGCCCGCAGTCCTGCAGCAGAGGATCTGGGACCCGGGGGAGGAGAGGGAGCTGCCACCTGGGGTGAAGCGAAGCAGTGACAAGGTCCGACCCTGTCCTGCCCTCCCATCTCCCATGGTGGCCGCGCAAGGCAGCCTTCTCAGAGGCGCTGGGGAGGGCGGGGGCAGCAGGACAGCTCACTCACTCCTTCCCTCTCTCCATCCACAGGGAGACTCTGGGGGCCCTCTCGTGTGTAACAGTGTGGCCCAAGGCATTGTCTCCTTTGGACACAAAAATGGGACACCTCCACGGGTCTATACCAAAATCTCAACTTTCCTGCCCTGGATAAAGAAAACCATGAAAAGCCTCTAGCTGCAGGAACCAGACTATTTGCTCTAGAGCTGATCCAGAATCACGCTGGGAAGGGCGGTGCCCTTCCAGGAAAGGTGCCAGCAATCAAATAAATGTCTCTTACCTGAGTATCAGCCATCAAATAAATGTCTCTTAACTGACTGTGAAGGCCTGGTTTCTTGTTTATTCATTGACCATACACCGGCATCAACTCTGTGCTTACAAGGCCAATGACAAAATTCTGCTGTTTTCTGCTTCCTCTTCTCCATCCACCCCCCAACTCCATGCAAAGTTCCTTCCAGCTCCTTCTTACCTACACCTGTCTCTCAGAGCCTGCCCTTCTGCCAGGGCTGAAGCTGAGCACCACCAGGAGAAACCATGAACCTCTCTGGGCCTGGGGCTCTGGGTGAACTTCTTACCTCCACCCCCTGTGTTCTCTGGCAGGGAGGAAGGGGGGTAACACTGTGGGTCCTGGACACCAAGTTGGCACAGTCTAGGGCTACTCAAGGACACAGCCCTACCCCACTGGGAAGAAGTGACAGGGACCTTCTCAATCAGGACACTTCTCTCCCACAGCCAAGGAAGCTGGCATGGAGTGGGGCCGGGTCTCTTGAGTAGCTCTGGAGTCTCACCTCGAATGAGTTCCCTTCCCTGACCCCTTCTGAGCTCAGAGACCAGCTCAGCCTCTAGTCTCCTGGCTGCCCCCGCTTACCACTGAGAGTGTGCAGTGGCCACCAACTCCTGTCCCCTCCAGACAGCACTGATCTGAGCTGGCCCCTGCCTCCTATCCCTTCCACCTACAACACCCAAGCTGCAGCAGGGCCTCACCACTGAGATGCCAGCCCAGCTCATGCCCCGACAGAGAGGGGCATCAGAGGCACCAGCCCTGAGAGCACCAGACAGCGTCCTTGGAGGACAGGGCTGGTGGGGTGGCTTTCCAGAACCCTTGGCCTTATCTATCACCTGGCAGGGCCAGCTCAACCCCTCCCATCCAGCCCAGTGTCTCCCTATGTGTCAGGGTCCACGGGCTGCCTGGTCACTCAGTAGCCTGAGGCCCTCTCAACCTGTCCCTCTGGTCACTGCCAACCTCTAGGCTGAGACTCCCTGCTGGCCACCTCGGGCTATATCAGCCTTTGGACTTAGAAAGGAATCCTCTGTGCAGTAGGACTGGAAAGGACAATTTTTTCCATCAACTAACCAGCAAATACTAATGGAGCACCTACTAAGTGCCAGGCGTTGATTGGACAGAACGCAAACTCTGAGCCTAGAGTGAACCTGACACTTGATTTTCACCTAAATTTCTAACCTCTTCTCCCTCCTTCACACAAGTCCATGTGGCCTACGTCTCTGTGGGAAATCCACAGGAAGCAAGTATTTGCAGTTATTTTTATTGCTGGTTACAGTCTGTATGAATATTATCACATGTGACTCTAGAACAGCAGTGTATGGGATTTGGAAATGACTTTAGTCATTTAGTTTCTGGATGTGAGGTTACCAAACTCTGTTTCCTGGAGCATCATCTTCACCTAGGGGACAGGGCAACCTTATTTTCATTTGCTTCAAAAGCAAAAGGTATAAGGGGCGCCTGGGTGGCTCAGTCGGTTAAGAATCTGCCTTCAGCTCAGGTCATGATCTGAGGATCCTGGGATGGAGCTCTGCATGGGCTCCCTGCTCAGCGGGGAGTCTGCTTCTCCCTCTCCCTCTGCCCCTAACCCCCTACCCATGCTCACTCACAAGTGTGACTCTCTCTTTCTCACAAATAGATACATAAAAACTTTTTTAAAAATAAAAATAAATAAAACAAATTTTAAGAAATAGCAGGTATGAATGTCACTGTACAGATTCAAATGGTAGGAAAGACCACAATATTCAATTGCCTAAAGGCAATCTAAGATTGACTCTAAACACCCATCCAATCCGACGAGCCAGAAACAACCTCTGTCATGACTGCAAGCTCCCACCTGTGCAGACTCAAACTAGAATCAGAGAGGCTCACATAGTCTAGAAAAATGGAGAATCACCTCTGTTCTTCAGGCCACCATGATTCCTGCTGCATGCACAAAGCCCAAGATTTTCTAGACTCTTCAACACTCAAAAGTCCTGGCTTGGAGGCCACACATGGAGGATGTGATTTCTTGCTAAACAAGGATCTCCCTCTGTTGGGCTCGCCTCACAAGACACTCCCAGCAGCCACACCTCCAAGGTTTTGCCACGAGTGTGGGCACTGCCTGAAAGCTGAGCCTAAGTTCCAGCTCTGGAGTAGTGCCTTCCTGCACCAAAAACACACAACACCACACTCTCCTGTGACATGGGGTAAATACTCTGGGGTCATGTAACCCTCAAAGCCATGCCCCTTCACATCTTATGCACAAAGCCTGAAGCAACACCATCTCTTAATGACCTCGGGCACTTTTACAAGGGAAGAGCAATGAGGTCCCACAGCTTCTGACTTGGAGCTGAAAAAAAAAAATCTGGGCATTTGAGGCATACTAAATTCCTTAGTTTAAAAAGTTCCTTTTTTCCTTGATTAAAAGTTTCTTGATTTAAAAAGACAAAAAGGAAAATGCAGGAAACAAAATTAAAAATACTATTTTTTAAAGTTACCCAGCCACATACATATTCAGTTTAAGTATAACCTTTACTTTGAGGAAGTGGTTCTGTGGTTTAAAACAAGTTTGAGCACACTTGCTGCAGTCTCTCATCCTCCTTGGAGAAATTGGGGAGAGACAAAATCCCAGGAAGGTGTAGTAACTGCCTGAAGGTACCAGAGTCAGGACAGAGCCTGGACTGAGCCCAGGCCTCCTGACAGCCAGGCCAGCAAGAACCCTTACATGTTTTCTAACCCCCACTCTGTGATGAGCTTCTGCTCAGACAGCCCCCTGGAGAGAAAGCCTCTAGGCTCCTGTGGAAGCCATTCTGTGACAAGTACTCAAAACATCTTCCTTGGCGAGCTGAAGTCTACTCATGGGCACATTTGGATGGAGGTAGGGAAGCACGTTAAACACATCAATTCCTTCAAATCTCCTTTGTCTGGGGAAATAGCCCCCACTCCCAGCTTTGAGGAAACAATTCTTCTCGCTTAAAAATCTCTGTCATGAAAATTAAGAAACGGGGCTCCTGGGTGGCTCAGTTGGTTAAGTGTCTGCCTTCAGCTCAGGTCATGATCCAGGGTCCTGGGATCGAGCCCTGCATCGGGCTCCTTGCTCGGCAGGGAGCCTGCTTCTCCCTCTGCCTCTGCCTGCCCCACCCCCTTTTTGTGCTCTCTCTCTCTCTCTCAAATAAATGGATAAAATCTTAAAAAAAAAAAAAAAAGAAAGAAAGAAAATTAAGAAATAAAACAAAATAAAATAGGTCTGTAGTGACCTCAAGGAAATGCCTCTCTTCCCACCAAGATCTACTGCCACCACCCCTCCTTCCCCCCAGACTCACTGGAAGAGTCAGGTCACAGTGTGACTGGAGAGAGAAATGCAAAGCCAGCTCCTGGTGGTGGATAGGCCCGAAGGAATGCCAAATCTTCTCATTTGTTTCAGGAACATGTATTGGGATGGCTCTGCCTTCCAGTACCACTCTTTGTGGTACCTAGAGAACTTACAGGATTTGTTACCTCTCTGTATCCCACATGACACTGCTTTTGACCATGAAAGAAGTACAGCTCTAAGTTCCTTTTTTTCATAGGCCTGTTGCTAGATGACGTTTCACACCCACAGAGTCAGGTAGCTCAATGAGCCTCAGGTAGGACAAAGGAAGCCACATCTAAGCCCATAAGAGTCAAGTTGATATCTGATAAAGACAAAAAGTTGAAAGTAGAGGGAAAAGAAGATACATTCATTACTTTGGGGAAACAACAATAAGAATAGTAATGAAAAAAAAAAAACATTACCCACCAGAAACAACAGAATTCAGAAGACAGTCAAATGACATTTTCATTTTTTTTAAAGATTTATTTATTTATTTTAGAGAAAGAGAGACAGCACACAAGCAGGAGGAGGGGCAGAGGGAGAGGAGAGAGAATCTTCAAGCAGGGCATTTGAGAATCTTCCTGCTAAGCATAGAATCCCATGCAGGGCTCAATCCCAGGACCCTGAGATCATGACCTCAGTCAAAATCAGGTGTCAGCCACTTCACGGACTGAGCCACCTAGGTGCCCCTTAAATGACATTTTTAAACAGTTGAAAGAAAAGAAGGAATAGGCAACCTATTTTTAGTATTTAACCTGGAATTCTCCATCCAGTGAAAATAGTATTTAAAAGGAAGGCAAAATGAAGACATTTTCAGAAAAACAAAGATAAGAGAATTGTTGCCATCAGAACAGCATTGCAAAAAATACTAAAAGCAGTTCTTTAGGCTAAAGGGAATTGATCCCTGTTGAAAGCAGAAAAAGAAAAAGAGACGGGCGCCTGGGTGGCTCAGTTGGTTAAGCAACTGCCTTCGGCTCAGGTCATGATCCTGGAGTCCCGGGATCGAGTCCTGCATCAGGCTCCCTGCTCGGCGAGGGGCCTGCTTCTCCCTCTAACCCTCCCCGCTCTCATGTACTCTCTCTCTCTCTCATTCTCACTCTCTCAAAGTAAATAAATAAATCTTTAAAAAAAAGAAAGAAAGAAAAAGAGAAATAAATGTGTAAAATGTGACTAAATATAAAAGACTTTATGTAAATTTTGTTCAAAGATAATTATTTAAGGCAAAAAATGCTTTTGGAATTATGATATACAATAAAATGTAGGACAAAAATAACTCAAAATGTGGGAGGAAAATTAAATGGAAAGACATCATGACAAGTTTCCTATATGAAGTGGTATAACATTAATTCAAAGTACACTGTGATATGTGAGGAGTTGTACTGTAATCCTACAGTAAATGCTAAAATAATATATACAGGTATAAATAAAAGCCAATAAAGGGGACAAAATGGGACACAACAAAAGAGGGCAGGAAAAGAAGGACAAAGGAACAAAGAAGAAATCACACAAATACAAATCAAACCCCAGTAAGACATTCTTCAACCAACCCTATCAGCAGCTCCA